TTGATGAGCTGTTTAACATCCAGAAGCTCGACCAGGCCCTCGACCCGAAGCGCGCGGACGATATTCTCGCCAAGAAACCTCTTGGCGGTTGGCTTGACAAGAACACGCTTGACGAAGCCCTCAACGGAAATTTCATGCAAAAGAAGACAATGTTCGAAAAATGGCACAAGGACAAAAGAACCTCAAGATTGGTTACGCGACTGATCAAGTCTGATCCAGCCATTGAAAAGAAGTACAGGGCTGTTTACAAGCTGTATGCTGAATACCTCAAGATGATCTACCGCAAGGAGAACACGGTGAAGCGACTTGCTGCCAACAACCGAAGATAGGTCAATGGTTAGAGAGCTGTAAACATGATATCATTACCTTTATCACATGGCTGTCTTGCGTCGCCTACTTGTTTTCCTGTAGATTACCACATTCTTCAACAGCACCTCCATCGTTCCATCCAGAGTGATTTAACTAATGTTGAAATCTTAAGCGAGGCTCATGAGGTCTTCAATATTCGGTTCTAACAGTGGCCTTGTCAATTTCAAAAAGGGATTGTTCAAGGACTTCGCACTGCTTTCGTGTCGACTCGGGATAAGCACAGTGGATGATTTTAACAAGGCTAAAGTATTTGTAAATGGACAACTCGATGTATTTATCTTTACTCTCGTCCTCAGTGCAGGAAGAAATTTCACTTCTACTTTATCGGTCAACTCTATCAAAGTCAGGTATCCTTCGCCAATGTGTGTTTGATATTATGCGTTCTACTCGAAATTTCCATCCACACTTCTTTGAATGAACCGCACAGCAACCGACAAAATACTTTGGTTAAGTATTGGTTTGATTAAGTACGATCCAGACTGTAGCACGGGTGGTTTCGAAATAACATGGAATTTGTATGCGGGCGACTCGGTCAATGCCGGAATTCAAAATATCACCGTTCAAAAATCCAAGCATAATTTATATACATATACCACGATACGCTCGCGGATTGCTTGACCTGTCCTTACAATGGAATCAAACGCTTCGATCGTGTATCTGAGTGCTAGTTATCCGGTCCCCCCGTTTATTGTGCGTCAAATTCTGACGAAGTTTCTACCGATACCGCTAGCCGCCGAGACTGTCTATTCCACGTGGAGCTCAAGGAGAATGAGAAATACAGACTATCGTGCTAAAGTCTTACATGTCAGTTTCCAGACCTACTTGAGCCCTATATTATTTTGTTTCCGTATAAAATAACTGCATTGAGCTACATATACTCGTTCGCTGCGTCTTTCAAGGGCTCTAAAAAACCAATAAATCTACTAAAATCATTCATATGCAGTGAGAATTTGTTGGTCGCTGTCGGAATCGTACTTTTACAGATGCTACACATAATGCCACAAAGACAGAAAGAAACACCTATTGTCTTATGGTGAATTCCGGGCCAGCTCAACTGTTTAATGTAGTTAGTCGGACAGCACCGTCAATAGGAAGGCAAAGAACATGTATATACTCAATCTATGGCTGCAATTTAACAAGCGACGAATCGTCGATTCGAAGCTGCGGAAGCATTTGGAAGCGACAAATGGAGCTGTTTCGTGACACTGCACGAAATATTTCTTACGATTAGGATCCTGACCAAAGAAACCCCTAAGCATATAGAATACAGCATCAACACAATAAAGATAGGATTCCAGAATCTATTAGCACGTAAATGTTGCAAAAGTAATTGCTAGTCGGGTTTTCCAACATCATTAAGACTCCCACTGCGACCCTCGTGTCGTGATCATGTGCGAATTTAAGAATTTCACGAACGATGGCTAGATCTTGCCAGCGCATCCATGTAAAGCATGACACAGTAGCTGGCGGCTAGGCTGTGGTTTGTGGACACAATATTTGCAGGCAACGTTTTCCAGAGGTTTGGTGGCGTCAGGATCCAACGGTCGAAACTCGCACCAGATATCGTGATAGGGGCGTCCTCCGCAACCAGGATAGGCACCGTTACGGCACCCACTACCAGGCAGCTACGCACGAGGGGGCTGCGAGTCTAACTTCAATGCGCTTCCGCGCGGATGTTTGAATTGAGTTTGAAGGGAAATGTCAGCTTAGGCGCTGTAATATACATTTCCTAGATTAGCTACCCTCCAATTTGATGTGGGCAATGCACAAAACAGCTCTAGCGACAACATGAGAAAGTGGGTCTCAAAAAAAACGACAACGGGCCAGAAGTGAACCATGGTTCAGGAAAATTTAGTGAACCCCCAGAAACTCGATTCACGAGGTTTTTTATTCACATGGGACCGTGAGTATTGAAGTGAATCGAACGTAAGCAGTTTGAACCGTACTTACCGATTCGAAAGTAAAAGGTACTATTGGCAAAGGGGAAAAGTACTTAAATTCGCGGCTTTAGTAGAAAGTGAGCGGACAAGTGACAGCCACGAAAATGAATGATGGGGGCTTAGGTATAGTCGTGTACTCAAAGTGGCTTTCGCCTCAAGGGTCTTGTTGAGCTTTTGGTAGTTCGTTCACGAGTGGTCAATTGCTTGTGTGCTAATATCGGATGGCCAAGTGTTATCAATGCCGCAACTACCGTATCCTGTGCAGCAGCAGTACCAAGAGGGGCCAAACATTATGGATTAGTGTATCGGACCAAGGAAGGATCATTGCAATTAGAAGCATTTGCGGACGCCGATCATGCCCGCTGTCCGGAGTCGAGCAAATCTGTTACGGGCTACGTACTCAAATTCAATGGCTGTTTGACTGGAAGAGTAAAAAGCAGGCCAAGGTGACAGCTAGTACTTGCAGCTCGGAGCTGCTGGCAGTGCACGCGTGCACCGAGATGGTGCTGTGGACGCAGAAGTTGTTGAAAGAACTGGGCATCAAAGAGAGACGCTAGCGTAGTGATCTCGTATGCTCGGCACTAGGCTTCGTAGACGACTTGGTAGGAAGTGGTGGAAGGAAAGTTGTTGTGGCAAGTAGGAAAGTGAGGTATTTATTTCTCAGTTGTTGGTAATGTTGTGTTTCACTGAGGGGAAAGTCTCCCAGACAGAAAACCCTCTTAGTCCTAGGCAGCACTGCAGGCTGCTTCACGCAGCAGGAAGCTAACGACCTTGAACTTCAGATGACTACTCGTCCCCTAGAAGTTTTCTTTGGTCTCCGTGCCCACGAATAGCTGTGATGACCGGGTTGCCGCCGCTCGGGTTGGTACTGCTGTTTGGGCTGGCAGTGCTGATGGCAGAGGTCGCAGAGCTAACATGCATCGTGAAAGGCATCGTAGCGCGAGCGCTGAGGGAAAAAAAATGTGACTTGGAGAGGTGAGAGAATAGCGGAAATGGCTTTGTAGCGTATTAATTACTGTTAAGAAGTGCTATTCCGCAACGGAGGCGAGCATGCTCTCCCCAGGTCCCCTCCAACTCAGTGCTATACTAATTTGCCTGTCAAGTGCTGCAGCAGTAATAACGGTAATACCAGGGCCAGCAATAATAAGAATTGCTGTAAATACTGCAATAT